TGCCTGGTCTCGTTGCGCCGCTTAAGGCCCAGGCCCAGCAGCAGCCTATTGGGACAAGAGGGGCGACCAGGGAGGAGACTTGACAAGGGGAGGAGGTCCTCCCCCCTTGTCTGCTGGGGTGTCCTACACATATTCATAAATTTTCAAATTCAAACAGTCAGGTATTACTACATGCCAGATGACTAGACGCTAATGGTCTCTTAAGATGATTGACAGTTTAGGTTACAAAAATGATACACATTACAAGACATGCCATGATACAGCAATACATGATGGATACAATAATGACATTTCAAAGTGAGTCACGTACATTAGGCTCACTATTACAGAGGATACATTTGTATAAGCCTTCAATCATTGAATACTTTGCAACACATTCCATTACAATAATTCAGGTTGTAATGGAATTTTCTTGCAGAACCCTTATTTTCACTTTGCAGAACCCTGGGGTTCCATGGAATACCATTTGGGAAACACTGCATTAGATCATTCACATGCATCAATATTTGGTAACTCCAGGTGATGTAGTCGTCCACAAACTGAAGAAGTTTTCAATAACAAAGGCTGGTAATGAAGGGCTAATAGGGCAAAACCTTGTCAATTAATAATTCTCTTCTCTTTAAACAAATGAAAGCATTTTTTTCCTCTTCTTTTTCTCTCCTCTCCAGAAAAAGCAATGGAGGGAACAAAGAAGGGCAGGTGACTGGCTGGCTGGAAATAGAGACTAGCAGCTTCCAAAACTTTCTATTCAGCAGCATCACTGCATGCAATCAGGAAAGGGAGAGTTGGTGAGTCTAATGGTATGCTGACCATATAACCTCAAAGATCCAGGACAGTCCCAGATTTCAGTCTCCTGTCCCGGTGCCTCCAAACTCCCTGAAAAGAATCCCTGAAACAGCAGCACAGCTAGAAGTGCTGCATGCTGCTGTTTCCCCTACCCCCCTTCCACAGCTCTTACTAGGTTTAAAAGGCAGAGAGGCAGCACAGCTGTAGCTGAGACTCAGCTGATTACCAGTCCCACTGCATCGCTGCCCTTTAAACTTAGCAAGAACCAAGTGCTCTTCCTAGATTTAAAGGGCAGAGCCAGCACTCTTCACAAAGCAAGGGCAGCTGATTTCAAGCTCATTTGGCCCCTTCCCGTGAAGGTCTGCCTTTTAAATCTAAGAAGAGCAGCGTGGCTCTTGCTAAGTTTAAAGGACAGAGCAGCAGCCAGATGGGAATCAGCTGATCTTCTCTGCATTTTAAACCTAGTAAGAGACATGCAGGTCTTAGATTTAAGAGGCGGAGCTGCATGGGATGGCACCAGCTGAGACTCCCAGGTACTAGCTGAGCTGCCCCTGCCCAGTCCCCCCATCAGCACCCTGCCACTGCTCCCTGGCAAGACCCCCATCAGCACCCTACCCCCTTCCCTTGGCTAGACACCCACCAGCACTCTGCTCCTGACTCCTTTCTCCTGGCCAGACATCTATCCCCAGCTTGCTCCTGTACCCTATTTTCCACCCAGATTCTGCACCCCCATCCCACTTACTGGCAGCCCTGTCCCACACAATGGATCCCTCATTTTTGGCCCCACCAAAATCCACTAATCCTGGAACCGACGAGTTAATCTGGCCTAAGGCCTTGAACCTCTGTCCTACCTCCCCTCCCCTCTATGGGGCTGGAGTGCCAGGGGAGTGAGGTGTCTCAGTTGGGGCCACATCAGTGAGGCTTGGGTTTTTTTGCATCTCACTTGTGTGGTCCCCGACTAATTTTTCTATGGGCCAGTGGCCCCTGACCCAAAATAGGTTCCCTGCCATAAATAAAGACAATGCTGAAACGTTTCATGTTGGACATAATATTTTATTTAAAAATAAAGCCTGGCCAACAAGCCCCTAATTGGGGCTAAGCCCCCATCTGGCTGCAGCATTAGAACACTCCTGCACCTCCCACACATCACAAACCTGTGCCCATCATGCTCCCAACCCCCCTGCCATGACCCCTCATACACCCACCCTAGCCTGGAGCCCCCTCCCTCCTTCTGCATCCAAATTCCCTTCCAAAGCTTGCACCCCTCACCCCTTCCCTTACCCAAATCTTTCATTCCCACTCCAGAGCCCGCACCTCTTGTCTCAACCCAGTGAGAGTGAGTAAGGGCTGGGGACAGCAAATGATGGAGAGGGTGGGGCTTCAATGAAGGGGTGGGTTCTTGGAGAAAGGATGAAGTAGATATTGGCTTGCCCCGACATTTAAAAAGTGATCGTGGGTGTAGAAAGGTTGGAGACCACTGCTCTAGATAGTTCCTTGCCCGCAACCCCAGCCCGCTCACTCACCACCCTGTACCTCCATCCCCCCTCACATACACCCTCCACTGAGACCCTACACTCCCAGCTCAGTTCTGCACCCTCCCTTGCTCTTGCACCTTCTTCCTGGCCAGACTCTTCACCCTCACCTCCTCCTACCCAGAGTCTTCACTCCCACCCCTATCCACCTCAGATAAGTTACTTCCCGCACAAGGGGGCCCACAAAATCCACTAACTCTGAAACCCCAGAAAAGTTACTCCCCTCACTGTGAGGTTAAAGCACCAGGGGAGTGAAGTGTTTCAGTTGAGGGCAACATAAGAGAAGGTTAGGGTTTTGAGGAGGGTTGGGGGGCAGGAATTGGCAAGCATGGTGGCACGGTCGGTGGGGGTGCTAGAGAGTTTAGCAAGTAGTGGGGATAGCCCACTAATGTAATTGTAAAATTTTATTTTAGTGTTAAAATGAATGCAAAGAGCAGGAAAAGAATGTACACTTTTACTGAGACTTTGCAAAAGGAATATCCTTTTTTAAAGAAACTTGACAATCCACACACAACATTTTGCACCTAATGTAGTAGTGAGATAAATGTTGTTCATGGCAGGAAATTTGACACCACATATTCAATCAAAGAAACATCAGTTAGATGTCCGCTCTGTAGCTTCCAGAGCTTCAAAGAAGAAATGTATTATAAAAGATTCTATGAAACTGGACCTGGTGGCAAAGGAAGCAGTAATTGTATATCATACTGTAAAACACAATCACAGATCTTTAGATTGCACCTCTAAGCTAATTTCTGCATTGTTTGGGCCTAAATTTTCATCAGCACAAACAAAAAGTGAAGCAATTGTGAAAAACATTCTTGCTCCAGAAGCTCAAAAGATTTTGCAACAGGAATTAGGTGAAATTTCATGTGTCACTGTTATGTTAGATTCTTCTAACCACAAAAATCAAAATTTTGTTCCTGTCTTAGTAAGATATTTTCATGGAAGTACTGGAGTTAATGTGAAAGTTCTTGAACTTGACATCCTGACACGTGAGACAAGTGATCAATTAAATGATTATGTTTTCTCTGTTCTGAGTCACACCCTTTACTTCCAGTCATGTGCCCATCTCAACCTTGGTGGGATTTCCAGTGGCAGGTGGGCATGACTAAAGGGAGTTGGGGGCATGGCTAATGTGTCCTTCTGAATATTTGATTCAGAAAATATGGTCATCCTATCTGAAGTCTTCCAGACCTTAATAGAGTTCATCTTTCTATTAAGCAGAGTAGTACTGAGAGAACTTTAAATAGCATAATTCATTCTAGACGATGTCATATGGCATGTACACCTGAATGTAACCATTACCCAAGTTATTAAATCATTAAAAACAAATCATAGAGAAATCACGGAGTTCAGCTAATCATCAAAATTTACATCATTTTGTGCAGTCATTATAATGCCTCAAAATATCAAGTCAATGAAGGTCTGATGAAATACATCCTAACACAGGCATTCCCAAACTTTTTGACACAGGGACCAGTAAATTCATTCATGAGCTTTTGGAGGACTGGTAACATATATTTGCATATTCATTAAGCAAATGGTGACTATTCAAATAAGTTGTTTCTGGTCCTCCCAAAGCCCCCAGTGCCAGATTTAGTAAAGCTTTTGATATGGTCGCCCACAATATTCTTGCCAGCAAGTTAAGGGAATATGGATTGGATAAATGAACTGTAAGATGGATCAAAAGCTGGCTAGACCAGTGTTTCCCAAACTTTTTATTTTAGTTGGAACCTGTTTTTTTTTCCAGTACTGTTTTTTGCAGCCCAAAAATATAAACACACACAAAAAAAGAATTAAAAATGAATAAATTTTCAGTGTTTCACCCGGCTGCATCCTCTGCCCAGCCTGAGCCAGGGCTTGGGAGACCCGGCACCACATGGGCATGTCAGGAGGTGGGAGCAGGAGCAGATTGGGGGTAGGGTATCTGGCTAGGAGGGAGGATGCAAGGAGTGGTAGGGTTGTCAGGTGTCCGGTTTTGTACCGGACAGTCCGGTATTTGAGGGTTCTATCCAGGAAACAAATTGAGAAAATACCTTGACTTTAGTAAGATTTTTAATATTGCCTCATGTATCCTCATAATAATAATAATTACTAATAATTAATAAAAAGCTATGGAAATACAACCTGGATGGAGCTACTATATTGGGGCAAGGTACCGAACTGGTTGGAAAACTGTTTCAGAAAGTAGTTATTAGTGGTTCACAGTCAAGTTGTACAGACATATCAAATGGGGCCCCCAGTTCTCCATATAGTTCTTCATTGGTGATTTAGATAATGGCATGGGCAGCAGCACTGCAAGCATCCTCCTCATGCTGCTCCATCATGAGTCTTGCTTCTAAGTTTATTTCCATACTTAGTCTCTGATCTCATTTGGGGGCTACAGACAGTTGCCAACAGAGATGACAATTCCAAACATGGTGGTGATTGTGATGTAGACCTGTTTGCTGTTGGAGATGTATTATATTTAACTATCAAAAGCTGAGGGCTTACCCAAAACTTTTCTGAGGGTCAAGGTCTAGTAGATTTTGTGATTCCCCCATAGGCTCTGGGGCAGAATAAAAAATGAGGGATTCAGTATATGGGAAAGGGCTGCTGGGGAGTGGGCCAGTGTGAAGGAAGGGTGCAGGAGCAGGTTGAGAGTTGGGATTCCGGGGTCAGGGTTGGAGTTAGGGTGGAGGTGTGGAACTGGGCAGGAGTTAGGGCATAGGCTGAGGGAGGGAGTGTGGGGTCTGGACAAGAAGTAGGAATCTGGAGTGGAGTGGAGGTATAGGAAAGGACAGGAAATTGGGGTGCCTACCTGGCACAGCTCTCAGGGGACACAAGTAGCTACACCAATGAGACCAATGGGGATGGAGCTTGCAAATGAGCACAGTGCCACAGGGATAGAGCTTCCCTATTGGCAGCATGCAAAGCCTCTTCTTCCTTCCACCAGGCAGAACCCACGTGCCTGATTCGGCCTACGGCTTGCCTTGATCCGTCTTGAGGGCCTTGGAGGCTCTCCCTAGTAGTGGGAATCTGGTGCTTGCACTCCAGCCGTATGGGGCGTGACTCAGCACTCTCTTCCCTGTCCCAGGGGCTGGAGTGTCAACGCAGCTTGCCCCACTGCAGGGCCGGTGGCGGGGACAGCGTGCAAATCCCTAAATCTCATGGCCCCTGTGGAACGGCTGTTGAATTTTTACCAAAATATTGTTTATTTTTATTCTTGTGGCTAGTCTGCCTTTAAATCTTCTTCAGAGATGAAATTTTGCATTAATGGGATGAGGTGAAGTGCTTTGATTTAAGTTATTAGAAACAGTGAAATTAAAACATTTTAAAGAATGTTAGGGTGAAATTTTCACACAAAGAAAGAAGCTTGTGTCACACTGACAGTCTTTTGGCTACTTTCAAAAATTTTACCTTACAATTAATTTTAATATAATATATAAAACAAAAATGTTTTTACCATCTTATGAATTAATGTTATGATGCTTTTCTGTGATTCGTTCAATGCACAGTAGCCACATTCTAAATGTTGAAGAGCAAAGAGAATATTTACAAACAAATATGCAACTAAATTGAAAAATGACTTTTTGTAGAAATAATCCTTTTGTTTCTCCTTTACAAACAGGGCCCATACGCTGTATAATTTATCAAATTTAAAATACTAAAGCATAATTAACACAAGAGATTTAAAGAAATCGTTGTGTGGTGCTTTTGTTTCATTATTGCAATATAATTTCAGTATTTTGCCTAGAGATTAGGTGTTTTCACTTGCTTAAGATTCATGCCAAAATTTTCAATAGGTTGATTAAGTCACAGTCCCTTTTGAGGATTTGGATTTGCAGAACAGCTGGCTAGTCAGGCCCAAATGTCCTGATTGATACAAGAAGGTAGTTTCGGGGGGTGTTAAGAAGCCAGCTGTTCAATCAAGATTTTCAAAAGCCACAAGCTTGAGAAGTCAACAGGTATAGTTTACTGTTCAGTAGTCCAGCAACTCCTTTGTTCTGTAATTCTGGGATCCTCAGTCTATTCAGATTTTAAAAAACACAAGCATGGCCACTGTGGTGTCCAACACACTAGCCACATGTGGCTATTTGGCTAGTTGAGTGTGGGTATTAGCCATTTGAGTGTGGCTAGTTTGCTATAGCAATAGCCACTATAGTACTGGTTGGACACTACAGTATTAGAGAGCAAGACAGCAACCATGTAAGCAAGCAACAGTTGCCATAAAGGTCTTGTTGGGAAAGCCGGCGCAGTCACTGTCCGTAGGGAGCTCTGCTGTATCAAAGGCAGTAACGCAGGGTGGCAGACAGCCAGTCTGGTGCGGAGTAGGTATGTTAAATGTCAGTTAATTGAATAGTCGAGTAACCTCATGAATTCTTATTGGTTAGTCAAATATTCTCTAGTCCTTGGGGATGGGGCCAGCAGCAATGTGGGATGCCAAGCAAGAGCTAGTGTGCCAGGGGAGCCAGTTTAAAAACTAGCTCCTCTTGCAGACCAGCTATTTGTTGCCCTGTGATGCGGCCTCTGATAGAGAGGCAGCAGTGCAGGGTAGCAGCAGCCCCTGTCTGCGGGAGTGTGGAGTCTGAGCTCCTGGACCTGGCATGAACCGGAACTGAGCCAGGCTGCCTGCCCACCCGGCTCCTAATATACTTTAAAGTCACGATGGGGGTAGGCCCCCGCACCCAGTGAGAGCTAGAATTGAGGTGGCCTGCTGGCCAGCCTGCTAAAAAATGTACTGGTTGGGGGAGAGGGAGGGAAATGCATGTAGTCTATAGCATTAACCTACATAAGAACGGCCATACTGGGTCAGACCAAAGGTCCATCCAGCCCAGTATCCTGTCTGCTGACAGTGGTCAATGCTAGGTGCCCCAGAGGGAGTGAATCGAACAGGTAATGATCAAGCCATCTCTCTCCTACCAGCCATCTCCACCCTCTGACAAACAGAGGCTAGGGACACCACTTCTTACCCTTACTACATAGGGAAAGCAAGAAAGAAAAATTGTGAAATCTATTTATTTTTTCAACTTATAGGATGCACCTATTGCCATATATTTCTAAGCACAAATAACAGGCATTCACAAAATACACAATCCAAATTGACAAACTCAACATTAATTGTAAAGGAACTCTGTGGGATTTGAGATGTATCAAACAGATTATAATGTACAAATACAATTAATGAACTTTATCGGCAAAATAGCGAATTAGTAAGTGTTAAACTAAAGCTAGCTATACCGTCATTTCCCAGAGTATTAGCACACCTCATTTTACTCAGTTGTATTAGCACCTTGGCACTGAGTCGTTCAAGGGCTCCCAAATATTCAACTTCTGGTGTAAAAGACTTAGTATGGTACTATGTAAAAGACTATTTCCCCAGAAGTTCTTCATGTGGAACCTACACTATATAGACAATATATAGACAAAACAGTACTTGTTCAATTTTCTAAAGATTAGCCGCTATTTTATCTATACTGTAAGAAATCCTTCAATATTGTTGGCAACTGAAGTTGGGGGATAAGATGCAGTCTTGCTCTTCCTATGCAATTTCGGATACATAGTCGGCAGAGTTGGCAAAGAGAGCAAGGAGTAGCTAAAAACAGATAAGAAATTGAATTAAGTAAATATTCAGTATCTTTAGGAGTTTACAACATTTTATATTATTATGGAGTACCTAAAAACATTCATTTTTAAAACTTCTGTTTATCAGTCTTATTGATCTTACACAGTGTAGTCTCTTAGGCCGTGTCCAGACTCAGGGTTTTTTTCGGGAAAAGTAGCCTTTTCCCGAAAAAACTTCCCCTGCGTCCAGACTCAAGCCGCGTTCTTTCGAAATTATTTCGAAAGAACGCGGCTTTTCTTTCGATGGCGGTAAACCTCGTTTCACGAGGAAGAACGCCTTCCTTCGAAAGTTCCTCTTTCGAAGGAAGGCGTTCTCCAATGTAAAGAGGCCGTCTTCGAAAGAGAGCATCCAGACTCGCTGGGTGCTCTCTTTCAAAAAAGCGGATTTCTCTTTCAAAAGATCCGCCTGCAGTCTAGACGCGATCTTTCGAAAGATGCTCTTTCGAAAGATGCTTTCGAAAGAGCCTCTTTCGAAAGAAGCCTGCAGTCTAGACATAGCCTTAGATAAATAACTGAATAAAAATATCATTAAAACTTTATTAATGATTAAGGAAACAGAAAGATCAAGGAAACTTGTGTTTATCCAGAAGAACACATATCAATTAACTCATGATGTTGTGTATAGAGGCAGCAAGGGGGGGAGGAATCAACTAGTCAACCCGACTATCTGATAAGCATTTGTTTATTGGATAGTTGACTAGTCCTTAACATCCTTAGTAACCACATAACATTTTAGTGGTTACATGACTGTTCAATAGTTCCCAGGGGGCAGAACCGGCAGCCAGTGCACTCCTGGCCCCACTCTTGGGGAGCCCCTTGCTGACTCACGCTGCTACCTCTGAAACAGCAGAGCTCAGACTCCCACAGACATGAGCTGCTGCTCCATGGGCTGTCAAAGACAGAGACTGCTTCACAGCAGCCTGCTGTGCTAGGGGGAGCCAGCTCCTGCTTCCTCTCCCCCCCCCCACCTCTGTAGGAGACAGCAAGGAGGGAGGACTCAGGTCGTGGAGAGGGAATGCACAGCCAGCCAGCTTTTAAGCTGGCTCATCACGTGTCTCGGCTCCCACCTGCCCTCCTTATCCTCTGGGTTGCTTCTTCTTTATCAGAGGCAGCAGCATAGGGGTAAGGGGACAGGTGGATCCAGTGTTCGTGGGGAGCCATCTTAAAGCCAGTTCCCCAGGGACAAAGGCTCCCACTTCCTCTCCACCCTGATGCCTCTGATACAGAGGCAGCGGGGGGG